AAACGTCGATGAAGTCACAGCAAAGATTTTCAAGCTTGTTATCTGCACAAGCGATTTGTTTTCCCATCAAGATCTGTTTTAACATGTGGAGGGGCATCCAAATGTGTAAGGCTATTGGAAACCCAAAAAAATTAAAGGAATGGGATAGCTATAGTTCGATAAAACGGCAGATGAAAACACTAAAATCAATGATTTTTTTCAGTGGCTGTGTGACCTTTTGTCTGACACATTCATATGCAAATGACTAATCTGTGAAATAAACAGGGGTGGAGACAAACCACTCAAATGTTTGGAAACACTCATTGTGTGTCAGATAGCTACTGATAACACATCCTAACATTGCTTTGTCTTGAGTTAATCTTTGAAACTTATAGGCACACAAATTAAACCTGTGTTGTTGATTTTAGAAAACACTACTGAAGCTGCCTTGCTTCCCTTCATCAATTAATAAATAAATGTGAAAATCGGAATTTTCAACACAAATAATAGTCTCGCTACCTTAATAACACCATCTTACTAACGCAATGGCGATAAAAAGAAAGAAAGCAAATACGCCAATGACAGACGAGGCAAAGAAAAATTTGCAATTCGGGGTCATATTTACTAATTTAGACTTGCCTTCAGCCTGTTGTGATTCCGATATAAAATTACAAGACTTTCGCGTTCACCCCTCGTTTACACAATTTATATTTATTTTTCAAGATTTTTTCATCTAGGTCATATTATGACCATTCTCGCGAGTGGTTCGAAAGGGACGATTAGACTGAAATATTCGCATCAACGAATTAAGTTTCAACTACTTAACCGATGACGACACCGATACGTGAGAATGTTGAGGGTCGGTGATCTGACGAGGAAGTGAGTACAGGAAATCTGTTGCTCGTTGACATCGGCAAAATAAACAAAGCCATCGTTCCGTTTATGCAGAGAGCGTGCACCCATCTAATTTTCTGTTGACACTGCCGTTTTAGTTTTCTATCTTCAGCAGTAGTTTCAATCCATTCATATAGCTTTACGTGTTTGTTCTTTTAATATTCTTAATAAAACGATATTGATCGCCTAGAAACAGTTTGACCCGCTACACGCTTTATTTGGGAATTCAAATTGATGAATATAGTCATAATAAATTATACTTGCTAATGAAAAAAAAAATAACGTAACATCGTGTGAAACGTACTTCGCGCTTTACTCGCTTTAAAGCTGCCAATGCTAATGAGCATTGTTGCAGACGAAGCCTTACAACTTCAAGATGGCGTTAATGTTACCAGCTCCCTTATGTTACATCGTCATAAGGCAGCCAACACCAACGTGCATGTGTTTTGTAACCCCTTTCATCCCCTCCGGGGGATGTTATATATGTTAATTTATCAATGTTAAATACTTGCTGATCACCGAACCATGCGGCATGTCGTCGGTAAATACTTGTTTGCCGTAGTTCGCGAGCAGTCGGCGAAATAACCATTTAAAACTGAACATTTCTATAAGGCATGCTGTGTACCCTTACATCGATCGACCATTGAGATTTGTGCTTTTCGACCAACCAACCAATGGGAATCGTGCTCTTCGCAGAGTGACACTGCGATCCTGTCGCACAGTGCAATAATCGACATTCGGCGAGTCGCACAATCGCGTCACAGAGTTAGTTTTTAGACCTCCATACATACCTCCAGATGGACTAAATTGTAAAATAATTAATATCAAGATTAATTTGAGACAGGTTGTTATCTGTAAAGCCTTCCTTTGGGTTTGTACGACTATGAATGCCATATCGAACAAAACATATGGCTGACAGACAACCACTATTTAAATGTTTACAGAAAATGTTTCTCATAAACTTTTATATGTAAAATGATATTGGGGATCAGGAGCGAAATAACAATACTGTTCGTCTCATTTCAAAATAACAGTTATGAAGCCTGTACAGTGACTTCATAGACTTGGTGGATCATTAGATCATTGTGAGTATAGACCAATCACAGATTGTCTGAAAGCCTAAAGGGTGTAATTACCTGCCTAGCCAATTCAATCATCTCACTGGGATTACAATATGGCTAATATCGCATAAAAAATGTGTATATAATTATATTTAGGTTTCACACTAAATAATAATAATAATAATAATAATAACTACAAAAAGAAATTCTTTTAGACATTAAACAGTTAAAAAATGACTTAAAATTTTAAAAATACCAAGACACTGTGTCATAGATTGTCGCCGACTATTAGGATTAGGGACCAGTATATAAAAATGGACTGATACAACACCTTAGGGACAGAACATGTCTGTGATGAAAATGAGGAAAAAGAACATTTCTTGCTCAAATTATTCTATGGTATCCAGTAACACTGAGAGTATCGGGGATTGTACAATGATTAAACATATCTGAAAACACTTGTGATGAGCAAATGCATATAAAACAACCTCACAGTGGGGGGGGGGGGGGAGGTTGTCTGTGTAAAATTTTCAAATTGAAACTGCTCACACAAAAATAAAAACGACTTAACTTGCTCGAAAGTGTGAGCATGTATGCTAATAAGCATAAATAAAACTTGATGGGCAAATGGACATGGGTGACATGCTAAACACAACTACCATTGGAGTTAGTATGTTTGTAAACATGAGTAAAATAGTTATATAAATTTATATGGAGGTGACCTAATATCTATACAGAAAACAACTCAAGGGTGTGTTGTGCATCTTAGATTAATCTTAATTGAAAAATATATTGAATATCAATTTTTTTATATTGTTTATATTGATCTTGAAACAGTGAATTTTGTGTGCGATTTGATGTCTCAATCTGAAAACTCAATCATAACAGAAACTGTGGAACTGCTTGTTATATTTGGCTATTGATGAGGCAGTTACTTTACAAAACATTTATCTATTGTATGTAACAATACATGTGAAAGGCTTCAAAAAAAATTTATGGACATTACAACTACAATCAAAACAAAACAGACCATCTAACAGGAAAAAAAAATGTAA